ATTCCATTAACGGTTTTTGAAAAATTTCAAATTTCGCATTCTTAAACTTTCTTTTGCAATTATGGATCAATATTATTAATAAAATTTTGCAAAATTTCACAAATTACAAGTTATTTAATTATTCCATTTAATATAAAATTATATAAAAATCTATAATTCATAATGTTTGATGTGTCAAATTATAATGAAATCGTACTCTTTAGAGAATACGTATTATTTTTCATAGAAATTTAAAATTTAAAATAATGTTTTTTCATTCTTTTAATATTTTCACATTTTGCTCCAACCTAGTAACCCTATCCGTTTCCATTTCCATGAAATTATTATACTTCCGTGAACGATTCCGATGTAAATATTCATATTGAAATACAGAGAGAGATTTTGTTTTGACTGTTAGCTTTGATATTTTTGATAGAAGGAATAAATACAATAATATAAATAACAGCAATAAATAAATTCTGTGTAAAGAATATACACACATAATATGAAACATATTATAGGGATAATAAAACATTCCGATAATGGAATATTCGAGTGATAAAGAGTTCGAATAATGGATGTTGTAATGATATTTGAGATCTGATTTTATATTTGTTTTTTGTGTAACTCGAAATATTACGTTTCGCTTTTCCTCTAACAAAAACATTTATACTATTATTAATACGAAATGAAGCTTATTACAAAGCCTTATCTTATCACAGAAACTATACGATGCAATGACAATTGCAGCTGATAAAAAATAAAACATTTTGAAGATTACATATTTGAGTGATGTATCATATACAAAAAACAAAAAGAAACAGAATTTGATGAAACTTTAAAATGTAATAAAAAAAAAAAGAACACATTTAAATAATAAAGGAAATTATTAGATTCTAAACTAGTAATTAAATATTTTATTAAATATTTTTCGTTTATATCAATTTAAAATTAACTAAACATTGAATAATACTATATATTTATAAATAAATTACTATTATATTATTATTATACTTGTTACATTGTACTTTTCTCTTACAAATTCTAATTGCAATAATTTTATCTTGTTATCTTCTATCATGATTGTTTTTAAACAGATAGAATATAATACTGAATACACAAAATATATACAAAAATTATCACCGCCATATGAGCTATAAATCGTGTAATCGTAAAATTTGAAGTAATAATAGGGAACACTATCAGTAACATGGCTCAATAGGAAAGAATAGCTGAAATTATATTATATATAATAGAATAGAATATTATCGATATCGGAAAACAAAAAACATTCCACAAACTTTTTGTCTCGTATTCTTTTTCCTAGTTAAATTCTTTCTCATAAAATAAAACATTCTAACCAACATATCGTTTAATCCCTTTCTTAACGAATAAGATAAATTTCTTTTACCAATGAATATTAATTCAATAATATTATATATTTTATATAATTTATTATATTTTATTAATATTATATAATTTAATATAATATTACGATACAATTGAATTTAATTTTTATTTTGAGACGAAATATCCTATTACTTTTAAAAATGAACCACTTCAGGAACATCACAAGACATGAAAAACATTCATTCAAGTAAAATAAAATAACACCACTGAAGATATTAATTTTTTTTTTTTAGAATAATTCCAACTCAAACACGTACACGTGTCCCTTAAAAGCGTTTTGATCGTGGAATCCTCGATATGCCGGCACAAGTAGCGCGGCATAAAAAAAAAAAAAATGGAACAAACGGATGACACACTCACCGAGGCCGAGCAGATTGTAGCAAAGGCGACACAATAGCCATCGACACCACAGGAAAACCCTCGGTCTGTCGCGTTTCGACGCGACCACGGTCATTGTTTCGCGCTCGCGTTGTTTTTTACTCGGGGATAGTTCCGCCTTAAAGTGTAGCCTATGCCTGATCCACGCATAGAAGAACTGAACGTACTGAAATGGCCCACATATTAAACAGCGGCATATTGCCTGGCCTGATGCATAATGTTGAACCATTGGGAGAGAGCGGTGTAAAGAGAAAAGGAGGAAGAGCGTGTGCACGACGCGGAGGAACAGGGATGGAAGAACGAAGGAACGAGCCCGTATGATTCCCCTACTTGCGAACGAATGAATGACGCCATTCGTTAAATTGCGACTAAGATCCGGATGTGTCGAATATCGAGTGTTTGTCAAGGCTTTGGGAAACGCTGGAATATTTCACCCCCTCGTTGTCGTCATCGGATAAGGCAAAAGTAGTGTCTCGTTAAATGTCGCAATGATTCCATAACGAATAGTTAGATACAACGAGTGTATATGTGAAAATATGTGAATACATGTTTCACAGAAGGATTTCGAGAGATGTGTGTATGTGTAGATTTATATAAATAGAATTTTGGATAGATAAAAGTAAATATTTTTGTCACGAGGTGACGTGGTATTTTTTAAACTTCTAGTTAAAATTACAAATGTATATTTTAAATTAATTTGTAATGAATGGTTAGTATTTTATACTAAGCAATTTAGAGTGTCTCATTAAAACAGGAGAAAATAGTATTTCAAATTAATTTAATTTAAAGAATGCTGTGCCAACAGGAAATAGCAACATAGAATACACACATAGAATGAAAAAAAAGACCAGAGCAAACATCGCGTGACTTGTCATTATAAGTTTATGACGCGGTTATTCTCTCTGGGAGCATTTATAGAACGTATTATCGTACTAATATCCTTGTCTCAAAAAGCAAAAGAAAAAAAAAAAAACTCGAATCCACGAGAATCCTCTGCGTGTTGAAGAAACTCGCAAAAATTTCGCGACCTCCATTCGAGAAATAGAAAGCAATACAGTCTCACTTACAATCGTTTTTATTTGAATTGAAAATAATTTTCTGTTGAAGAAAAATTCTCCGATTTATAAATCGTTCTTAATTTCTTTCAAGATTAATGCTTACAAGAGAAACGTTATTATACGGTATATAGCGAGAATTGTAATTTTTATTTTCTCTGATATATATTTGATATATATTTGCAGGATAAATCGTACAATTTTTTTTTAAAATGGTGAAAAAATAATAAATAATAAATTATGGTTAAAAAAAAAATGATTTTAATTGTAATATAATATAAAAGGAATTCAATCTATAAAGTCATAAAATAGACTTTTAAAAATAGTAAATAAGATATTCTTTTAAAATTATCCTTATCAATAAGATCTTAATAAATTAAATTTTCAAAAATATATATAATTGACAAGTCCATGAAGTTTTGTAAAAAATTAAATGAAAAATATTACGATATTTTTTTGACGAAACTATGTATTTAATTTCAAATAAAAATATTTTTTAACAATACGATTGACATAATATTATAGCAGAATGTTAATCCTTTGAAATTTATACAAATAATATTTTTGAATTTCATATTCACATAATCATTTTTCGAATAAAATAGAAATTTCAGAAAATAATTTTTAACACAAAGATTTTTTCTAATATATAAGGAAGATTTCATCTTGAAGATTCAATCAATTCTATTGTAAAAGTTATTTATCATCTGTTTTTCATCTTTATTTGAAAGCAATAAACGAAAAGTTTGATTCAAAACTTGGACGAAAAAATCGATATTTAATAAAAATATTTTTAATATTAGTTTCAATGCTATTTCAGATAGTATATAATGATTATGACTAGATGGCTAATGCGTGTTTGAAACACGATATTACCGGAAGACATTTTATGCCAGATCGAACAAGTAATACTAGACTTGTGGTCTCACCGCGGATCTGAGGAAAAATTCTAAGTCAAAGATTGATTGATCCTTGTTCAGTTTTCACTAATGCAGAATCGTTAATTTCAAGCGAAAAATTAAAATAGTTTCTTCGTCGATCTTGAATCAATATTTCTAACATCATATTCTTTCCATCTACAAAAATATTTTACTTTCTTTCTTTTTAAAAAATTAAAATTTTTATATTTTTTGTATTAGATATTAATTATATAATCGTTATTCTCGTGATTTTAATACGTTCAATATATTTCTCGAAATTATTTAACCCTTTTAAGACAGATATTTCTTTTTAGCAACGAATATTATAATAATATGAAAAAAAATTTTAATGTAAAATGCATATATACAAATAAATAGCCAAATTTCAAAAGTGGACGATTTAAAAAATAAAAATAATTTATTTTCTTTTAAAATTTTTTAAATTTTCTTAATTATATTTAGAAATTGTTTTGAAAACATGTTAATATAAATTTCCACGAATTACGTTAAATTATAAACTTATTCATAATCTGTACAAGAATCATATTTCTAGCATGCAGATGACTAACAATTTAAAACTAATTTTGAGATGGCTATTAAATAATAAAATTTAAATAATTTATCATGAATTTGAATTAATAATTCAATAATTTACAATAATTAAAAAAAAAGAATTAAATTTTAAATCAAAACTAAAAAACTATTAAATTATTATCTTAGAATGTTAGAAAAATTATAACAATTTTCTGATCCTTAAAAAAAAATTTTGTCGTTCTATTAATCTCAAAAGGGTTAAAATTACCGGGCATTATAATTACATCTTTCCGGTTCCAATTGCATCAAATCATATTGTTAATGAAATATTAAGATATCTGACATTATTAGACAGATGATACAACGTCCTTAAGATACTTACCTAGTTATTATTTCGCAGAGCACAAAAATGTGATGATTACTTCAGATGATTTCTACACGTTGCGATGAGTTCACAACCGCGAAATAAGACACTCTGGTACACAACTACACTGCCCACCGACTTCAGAAGTGGTTTCTTCCTGGATAAAAATGCATTGTTAGTACAAAGTGTATCAGAATTCATCTTCGATATTATACAAAATATTAGAAAGATTTAAGAAACAATAATATTTTGCTTTTATGAATCTTTTATTTAATATTAATATTTTTTTATTAAATATTGTGTATAAAAGGGTTAAAAATGATTATAAAAATTTATATTTAATTAGAATTTAAACTGATTAAATATAATTTTTGAAAAATCAGATAATTAATTTTGATAGAATTGATTGCTTTCTATTTAACTCGTATTGACATTTTTGCGAATAAAATTATCTTAAGTTTTATCTTTTTTTTATTTCTTCATTTTATTATTTTATGTTATTCTTAACACTAGAAATATCAACTTTTCGTATTATCCACGAATAATTACATTTCTATTTTAATAAAAGTCAATTAATATTAATATCATAAATTATAATTTCTTAAAATTAACAAAATACTTTATCAAATTATCTAACATTTTTCGATATTATATTGTGACCAAGATTTTTATTTAAAATAATAATTAAATTTACTCGTAATATTTATATCTTTCATGCAAAATATGAAAAGAAAAATATATAATTTCAAAATAAAATAAATTCTATTTATATAAAATATAATTTTCTATTGCATCTTATTAATTTTCTACTACATCAATTTATTTATAACGATCATTAACTTCCAAATTTTCAAATTTAAAAATTATCATCAATTAAAACTCTTCCTCCTCGCGAGCAAGGAAAAAAATTCTGCTCATAAAGAATCAACGAAATTAAAAAAAAAACACTCGAGGATCACTCGAGGGAACGATCGCTCCAATTTTTTCCTCCCAGGTGAAGCAATTTAACCGTACACGTTACAACGAGGAAGGGTCGTTGCACTATTAACTCGGTACGCCTTAGTTTTGTCTAGATACTCGGCTTCTTGACCCTACTTTGCATCACGTGCCAACCGGGATCGGGTACCATTTATCCACTCCAACCGGTTGCCGATGCTGTAATTCAAACCGCTTCGAGGGTTGCCATTGTTAGAGAACAGAGACATCAGTGTTGCCTTTGAAGTTAGCGTAAATAATAAACGTTTTACTAGGAATTAAAAATACTTTGTCTATTATCAGAGATGTAGATTCTCTCTGTATAATTTATATATTCTACGATTGGTCGAACGATTGAAAATTATCGTGGAGATACAAACTCAAGGAGTAATTACACGATCACCTATTTATAAGTGGTGCAAGAAATATGGGCGGGAGATTGGTTTAAATGTCAATTAGTAGTACCGATTGATTTAATAACAAACAATTATTGTTAGGGTATGCTATATGCTGGCAACGTTCTACTTATCGCTAGGGAATGGATTCTGATTCTAATTCTGATTTAAGTCTTTTTAAATTTTTATATATTCTCAACGTGTTTTTAAAAATTGTATATATGTTTAATATATTAGGATTGAATCTAGAAACGAAAATAAATAGAAACGAAAATAAAGTTGGTATGAGGCTTATATATTATTTAAGTTATATAATTGAAGTTAAATGAAGATGAAAATAGAGAATAACTCTAAATTAAGGATTTAAACTTAATTATAATTTTTATATTTTGATCTTTAAAATTGACTCTACAGAGATATATTAATATTAAAATATATTAATATCCTCATAAATATTCCTATAAATATATAATTTTGTTTTTTATATGTATGTTTTAATGTATGCTTCTTATTTTATAATGCTATATTATTGTGTTATATTATTATTATGCATAATTATATTTTTATTAAAATCCTTTTTATATTATAACAATATTAATACTTCATTTTGTATGAATTTGTTAAGAAATAAGCAGTGTAATCAGGTTGTTAATTTATTGCAACGATAATATAAAAATTATAATTATAGGGAAGATAAGTTAAATTCCAATTTAAAATTTAAAATATTTATGTTTAATTTTCCTATAATAACACATCGCATTAAAATTTCGAATTAAAAATTTAATATTTGAAAATTCATTTAAATAATAATCTCGAATAAATATAATATTTTTAAAATTATTATAGAAAAAACTCCAAATATTTTATTATTAGAAATGCATAATAAATGCATTATAA